TCCAGTGACAGGTCCCAATACCCGGTTAAGGCAGTGGAGAACTTGGAGAATGGAATTAACAGGAGATAACTGACATCCATTAAAACATGTCACGTGGAACTAGAACAGTCTACCCAAGTGAGCGAAATAAAGGGTTCAGTTCGACATTCCAACCACTTGAAGAAGGCCGTACAACGGCCGAAACGTTGTAATAAATATGGCGACAAAGATGAGGACAATAGTCCGAATAATGACAAGGATATGGCGACAAAGATGAGGACAATAGTCCGAATAATGTATATAGTGTACATAATACCTCATCCCAGAAATATATATATATATATATATATATATATATATATTGAATAAGATGAGGTTAGAGATTTAGTCATGTATCATGGCTTGGGAAAGGAGTAATTCTTTCAGGAATGGAGATATTGGACGACATCTGGGACGCAAATACATATTTTGACAAGATTCAATAGCAGCACCCTCGAGAATTATCCGTCTTACTTTCATTTTTAATAAACGTGGCATTCTTGAGATCAAAGTAATGGTCGAACTTATTATGAATACAAAAATTTTTAGAAATTAAAATTAAAAGAAAACGGTTATATCCATAAGCTCATGTTATTCAAAACATATAACTATTTAATCCCAAACTTAAATAATTTAAATACTAATTTGCATTAAAAAAAAAAAAAAATTCAAAAACTGACTTTCATTTGTTAGGCATTGAATTATGTCAGGTCATATCCTCCATAAGTTGCCTAGCTTTTCAGCTAGCCCAAGAAATATTTATCCTTGCATTTGCATTAATAAAGTGTCTCGGCGGACGATACGCTTCGGTTAAGGTGAGTTTTCTTTTTGTCTTTATCCATATTGTCCGTTTATAGATATACTCCATCACACGCACACACACACACATATATATATATATATATATATGGAACTTTAGATGATGGAATCATGCATCGGTTTGCTAAGGCTACCAGTGCTTTCGGCAAACTTCGCTATCGCTTGTGGAATGGGCGGGGTATTCGACTGGATACGAAAATTCGGGTTTACAGAGCTGTTGTCAATGCCATCTTTTTGTACGGCTCAGAGTCTTAGACTCCATACAGGTACCATATACGCCAGCTGCATGTTTTCCATAAAAGCTGTCTGCGTGCAATCTGTGGAGTTAACCTTCAAGATAGGACATCTAACGTAGACCTGTTTAACAGGTGTAATATTGGAGGAATCGAGACTTTTATCATACAGTCTCAGTCACAGTGGACTCGCCATGTCTTCAGAATGTCTGTTGACAGGATACCCAAGATCCTAATGTACAGCCTAATCGGATTAATAGCCGAGAGGTTAGAACCTCCGCATTCTGACCATGAGGTCCAGGTTCGGATCTCACCATACCCGATTTGTCAGGTAGTAGACTCCTTGATATCATCGGACTGGAAAGTAATAGAAAACCATACCACGGGTTGACCCAAGCCTTGTGAGTGAAATTTAGTAGATGTTTGTGGTTTTGCTAGCACGAAGTCACAAGTCATCGTGGCCGAGGGTTTGAGCATGCTGGCCTTGTTCAAATTGTTGATCACACTAGATACTGTAACTATACTGCAGAGTTGGAGAATGATCCACAGGTGGGCTATGTAGGTGTTGATCAAACATAAAATGCGCCTGAGCAAGCGTTTGCAATAGGGATTGACTAGCCAATACACGGCTATCCTCAAATATGAGTGGCTAGATCTACTAGTATAATAATGTATTCTTTCGTTGACTAGCTTCTTTTTCCAATGTCTTTCTTTTTGAATTCCAGTTGCATCTCTTTATCTTGGCAACCCATCTAGGAGAAGGAAAACTCCGAACAACAACCCACATCTTAAGGTGTTAATCGTGCCGAGGAGAAAATGACTGCTGCGTTATGAGGTCGCGAACGACTCCCTACAGCAGTGTTTCTCAAATTGGTGGTCCGCGGACCGGTGTCAGTACGCGAACCATCGGCTACCGGTACGCGGCCAGTGTCCAGGCCACGTTAAGGAATTATTTGTAAAGATTAAGGTTATATCATTTTTGTTTTTGTGTTATTAAATTGCTTATTTTTTATTACTTTTTATATGTTTTGATATTGAATTATTTTTTTGAACAAATAAATGGAAGATAAAAAAATAGTCACCTTTTATTATATTCATTATATATATTGTTTCCGGTATAAATTAATATTGCCATTAAATATTACAGGTACGTGACACATTGAGAAAAAAATGCCGGTTCGCCATACCAGACAGTTTGAGAAGCACTGCCCTAAAGGAATACGGAACCCTGTCTGTAAAAGACAGTTACCCAATGTACGGTGCAATTTGGGTGGTCATCTGGATCCGTGCCTCACTCGTAGGAACAATATGAGAACTAAAAATCAAAAAAGAAATATCCAGTATGGCTTTTCAAGTGGATAAACAGGGAGCCCGTCCCTCAGGAGGGAACCTACCTGAGGTCGAAAAATCTGCCATAAGGACAAACGCCTACACAAATAATGAATCAACCGGGATAATTCCAATGATGGTCCTGTGAATTCTGCAACTAGATCCACAACCATTTATTTAAAGAAAGAAAAGGTAACAATGGCCTCGTGCGAAATACAAACTCGTTATGATTGCATTCTATGAAGCGTTGCACAAACTTCAGAAAACAAAAAAAAAAAACATTACTCTCCAAACATATGACATTTGGCGAGAAAAGTTTGGACAAGCAATGAGAAGATAAACTAGCCAATGTTAGAAGGTACATCTTGAGAAATAACCAGTTGACAGATGCGCTGAAATTAAAGAAATAAAAAAGAACTATAACCAGAATTGGTGAATCAACAGAACATGAAAGGGAACCAGAAATGGACAAAAAAAAAACTAACATCACACAAAGCACGGATCCTAATGAAGAAACTGAGATACATACCAATTACTATGAAGATTATGCTGGAAATTTAGAAGATTTGGGAAATGTGGGATGTTAGTCGCTCACAAGCCTTCAATAAAACGAGTCTATTGAACCAAATTATTTTGCGGTAAACAAGGATAGTATACAAGAAGCCAAGGAAGAAATTATGAGGCATATCAGTCAGACACAAAATATTGAAATGGAGGAACGAGAACAACTCCCAAAATTACAGCCAACAAAGCAGAACCTCAAAACTAATAAACCCTACAATGCAGCACTCAAATTAAATCTGGATGAAGTAAACCCTCAACGCGACAATATACGCATCAGCAATAGCAGTAAGTAAAAATTAAACATCAAAGTAAAAAAATGCATTCTCTCACACATGAAAATCCACATTTGAAAAGAAAAACAGACAAAGAAATTGGACAACATGGAAGTGACTTATCAGTAGTCGATGAATTGACAAGAAGAACAAATGTAAGGACTTGAAAAGGAGGAAAAGTAAAAAGAAAATACAAAATTAGAAATGAAGTCCTGTCAGGTAAAGAAAAATAAACCAAACAAAACTACTGAAGGCTCAAAGAATCAGAAGCTATAAAAAAGATCAAGATTCTACAGACAGAACAAGATCTTTCAAACTGATGCGAAGACATTTTACAAAGAAATAAGCGAACAAAAAAAAACAAAACAATAAACAAACAAAAAAAAAAACTGAAGTAATGACCCTCCACCTCCAATAATGGAAGAAGTTAAACAGATCTGAGAAAAAATATGGGCTTTCCCTAAAGAACGTAACAAACAAGCAGATTGGATTAACCAAGATGTAGAATGGATGAAAAATAAACCAGAACAAACATGAGCAGGAATTACAGAAGAGGATGTTGAATGTCCGCTGAAAAAAAAAAAAAAACACACTACTGGAAATCTCCAAGAATAGATAAAATTCCTAACTTTTGGCTTTATTATCTAAATACAGCACACAAAAAATAACCAAAGAACTTCAAGAAATGGTCAATGATCCTACCAAAATTCCGGCATGGCTAACCAAAGGAATAACCTTCCTTCTACCAAGAATGGTGACAAAATGTCCCTAAAACTGCAGACCAATTACGTCTTCCTGTTACTTACAAACTGTTGACACCTATTCTGACAAAACAGACCTATTCCTTCTTAGAAAAAAATGACATACTACCTGTTGAACAAAAAGGTGCAAACGTTGCTCTTACAATTACTTATTGATCTTGGAAAATTGTTTTAATAGAAAGAAAAATCTCAGTACTGCCTGGATAGATTAGCTTAAGACATTCGATTGTATACCCCATTCCTGCATCTTAATGTCATTAAATATATGCAAGGTATTGCCCGTTGTCATCAATTCATCAAAGTATGTCGATATGGAAAACAACACTTCACCTCCGTCATATGAATTGAATCTATAAATCTGGTCAAGTAAATATCATCAGTGGATTATTTCAAGATAATTCTTAGCCTCCCTTACTATTTTGTATATCCCTAATAGCATTACCCAGCGATCTTAACAGGACAGAATATGGCTATAAGATATCTCAAAAGAAAATAAAGCATCTATTTTACATGAATGACTTGAAGTTGTATGGTAGTGAGCTGGAAGGTCTTTTGAAAACAGTAAAATGTTTCAGTGATGTCTTTAGAATGGAATTAGGTTTGGATAAATGTGCCAAAGCCACAATTTTACGAAGATCACTACAACAAACCTCCTCTATTAGCTTAGACCCTGGGGGTAACAATCAAAGATTTAAAGCAAGAAGACATTTGTAATTACTTCGGTGTAAATGAAAGTGAGGGAATACACATTAAAAAACGAAAGAAATAATGCGAAAAGAGTTCTATAGAAGGGTACGACTGATATTAAGAACTGAATTAAATTCTTAGAACAGAATTATGGCCATTAATAGCCTTACCATTCCAGTGGTTCAATATAGTTTTAACATTTTGAACTGGGCTCTAAATGACATCAGACGAATAGATTCTAAGACAGGAAAACTTCTTTGTAATTATAAAATAAATATAATATACAGGCTAATACAGACCGTCCATACATACCCCTGTGAAGAAAGGGGAAGAGGTCTTATTCAGCTAGAATTGTCATACAACACAACTATTGGCTTACTAACATACATGGAAACAACAAAGGACTAGATGATACAATTAGTTAAACAACACAAAAACAGAAACAAATATTCAATCATGAAAGAAGTTTGTAACTACAAACGAGATTTACATACTATTTTAGATATATTTAGAACACGTTATTTGAGGAAAATGTACGAGATTTACATTTTGTAGATTCTGTAGAAAGCCAAAAAAGAACCCAAGAAAATAAGAAAAAGAAAGACAAGAATAAAGTTCTTGAATAGATAAAACGGCGCTGGCAAAACAGACCTCAATGTGGCCAATATCTAGAACGTGCTAATAAAGCCGATGTTGATAAAGTTAGCACTTATCGATGGCTAAGAGTTATTTGGATTAAAGGGTGAAATGAAATGCTTTATTCTTGCAGCGTAAGACCAGTTTTTTTCCGCTGAGAACTTTCAGGCGAATAACTTGCATAATAGTAGGGACCTCGACTAAATTTTCGATACCTAAGATTTAAAATTAATTCCTAAAAATGAAAAAGCATTCTCGAAGCTTTATATCAAGATTTTCGGAAAAAAAAAAGTTTCAAAATTATTTTTATTCATATGTCTTGAAAGTTTCATTAAAATCCTACAATTATTTGATTTTTGCAAGATTTTCCAAATAAATGTGTTTTTCACCTGTAAAAAAACGGCGCAAAAACATTAATTGTAAACATTACGTCGACCGCTGACGTAAAAAAAGAAATAACTAAAATTTCGAACCTGCTAGAAAGGATTAAAAAAAAAAATAAAATAAAAAAAAATACTTTGGTCTTTCCTCTTAATAATAACATGCATTTTTTTACTATAAAACTTGGTTTTTATTAAATTTGGGACTTTTTTTCATCATACTATGCTGTTTTTTTTTTTTTTTTTTTCAGCGAGCAAGTGGAGGTAACTACATAAGATTGTTGGTCTAAAAATATCAGAACACCACAGACTAAGTGTCTGCACTAAAGTTTCGATACCTAAAGTTTAAAATGAATTTTAAAAAATGAAAATGCATTCTTTAAGCTTTCTTTTTAAACCTAATTAAAAGTTAACTGATTAAATTTGCTATTTCCAGTAAGCAAAATACTCTGGTGTATTTCAAATATAAATCATATTGATTAGAATCTCAACATTTTGGTCGCTTTCAGAAAATCGATAAATATCGGTCATTTTGGCAGATTGCAAACAAAAGTTAATTCTCGGTTTTAAAAACCTTCCAAAAACATTATATATATATATATATATATATATATATATATATATATATATATATTTGGAACACGTTATTTGAGGAAAATGAGCAAATTTAAATTTAAATTAATCTGATTTGAAACAAATTATTCCTTACTTATAGCATAAAACGCTGGTTCTTAACAAGCTGTGTTTATGTTAATTGCAATAATTAACGTTGAGCTTGAAAGCTTATGAAAAAATTCGTGTATTAAGTTGAATGTGGAAAACTTGAGTTGATTGTTCATCATAAAATATTGCTGTGTGAATGAGTGTTCTGTCAGGCTGGAATCATGTTAAGGAACTTTAACGTAAAGTCTGGAATTGTGTGACGAGTTCAATGGATTCCGATCAGCGCACTGTCGAAGAAGAAAGACGTTTCATATTTTATTGCTAACTTTGGTCACGTGATAGGCTCACAGAAGCATGATAGATTTGGGCGGAATTATCTTTGTGGTCAGGTCAAGAACTAGGTCGATGTTATTAAATATTAAGTGACCAATTAGAAATTGAGTTTTTCTGAAAATATTTACTAAGCTGAATAAGCTCTGTGATCCACTTTTTGTACGAAAATTGATAAAAAAAGTTGGTAGCAGGATGCTAAAGTATGATTTGTAAAGTCTGTTGAGAAGTAGACATGATGAAACCCAGAAATGAAAATGAAAGAATCACAGGAAGACAGATTATTCAAGGAGGACAACTCTTAAAACATGTGACGGGCTTTCATACTTACGAAAATGGGAATATTTCTACATTAAAAAAAAATTTAAATTATTTTTAGAATATCTAGTGTAAACGTTATATAAGCTTTTCAATTTTTGATTCGTAATATAGATTTAATTTAATAATATCACCTAACTGGATTGAAGTAATGCAGAATTTTAAACGATTTAAATTAATATAATTAAATTTTTAAAAAATAAAAACAATTCATGTAAAAAAATTATTATTCACCGATTTTTTTTTCTTAAAGCAATAGTGTTCAAAATAAATCTTATTTATGAAAGCAATTAAAAGTTTTTTCTAATTAAATAATTCCATAGCTTTATAGCATTTTT